TAGACCGGGTCGTAGGGCGTTACACTTACGGCCAGGATGGGGACCGGTGTGTTACAGGGAGACCGGGCTACAATTTGCTTTGACAAAACACCAAAAAACTAAATTGAAATTATAAAATAATTAAAGGAGTTCAGAACTATGGGAAAGGGAAAATTTGACTGAAAATTAGATGAAAAATGAAAGGGAGAGGCGCTGCTTTTATAGGGTCGGACGCAAAGCGTCCCACCCATGTCGTCTAACGCCAAGCGTCAAGATCTAGGCGCTATGCCACGTAGTCCAGCCAGTCGATGGTCGCCAGACTCGCCATGTGTCACTCTTGGGAACCAATTCAGTAGAAGCGTCCAACCCAAAGCATCCAATGGTGGAAAGCATCCACGGGCTGGATGCTTTAGGCTCGTTTTTTGGGCTTCGCGGCTTGGTTGCAATTTGAGCCTGGTTTCGCTTTCTTATGTCTCTGAACACTGTTTTCGCATCTCCATAGATTCTCTTGAATAATAATTCTCATGTTGAAACCTTTTTCTCTCACATATGAGTAAGAAATCAAAAATCTAAACTAATTTATTTTAGAACCAAATTATTATTCCTCTAAGAAAAAACCAACAGATATTGTTCGTATTAACATGTAATTATGCACTGATTTACTATTATTTTCATGAAACAATGTTTAAAATATGTAGAATAAAATAAGAATAAAATGGACTTATCAATTTTATTGACGAATATTTGTAATTAACTCAGGGTGCATCTCAATAATGAATACATTATTTTTTTAATTAATTCTAAGAGGTCGGGTTTCGGGGAGTTACATTCTAATCCCCCTTAAAATAATTTTGTCCTCAAAATCACCTGACCCATTGGTCACTGAAGAGTTGAGGATACTCACCTCGTATGGATTCCTCAGTCTCTCGGGTTGCTTCTTCCACCGTGTGATTTCTCAAAGAAACTTGACCAAGGGAACAAATTTGTTCTTCTGTTCGTTTACCTCATGTACTAATATTTGGATAGGTTCTTCTTCATAAGATAGATTCTCGTTGAGGGTGACTGCTCCCACTGGTAAGACTTGGGATGAATCGTACAATATTTTCTCAACATGGACATATGGAATACGTCGTGAATCTTACTTAGCTTTGGAGGTAACTCTGGCTGATACGATATTGGTCCCACTTGCTTGGTGACTCGATACGGTCCAATGAACCTAGGGCCTAACTTACCCTTCTTACCAAATCGCAAAAACTTCTTCCAATGTGAGACCTTCAAGAATGCAATGCCATCATGCCTGAATTCATCTCGTTTATGCATGCTAGGCGTCTCATCCGCAAGAAATGTGAAGCCTATCTATGTAATGTACGTGACACACAAAACGAAACTCATGAGTTGAAGGATATGCCGACGGTATTTAACTTTCCTAATGTATTTCCTGATGAACTTCCTGGTATACCATCTTCTAGAGAAGTAGAATTTTCCATCAATCTTGTTCTTGGAACAGGACCGATATCAGCAACTCCCTATTGTATGGCTCTCGCTGAAATGAAGGTGTTAAAGGCTCAACTACAAGAATTGCTTGATAAAGGATTCATTTGAGGGAGTCCTTCCACATGGGGAGCACCCGTTCTCGGGTGAATGAGAAATTAATTCACAAAGTCGAACATGTGGAAAGAGTAAAAACCATTGTCTCACACCGAACATTGAACCTTTCGTATTCCCATATTTAAACTTAAGCATTTAATTGAGTTTATGAAAGGAACAAGAAAGGACTCCTCGCATGCCGCCACCGCCCATCCGGCGCTACGCGGCGTAGCGTGGCGCTCCGTGCCCGCGTCTGCGGCGTGGCTATTTTTTACGAGACCGAATCAAACACGCCTATACACTTCGTTAATAACAAAGTGACGGAAATAATGGCATGCATGCATATATTCCGAAGAGTCTCCGGTGACTCCTCGGTTGCTCCGCCCAAACTGTCCTTGTTCGTCCAATCCAGCCAAGACATCTCCTATTTAAGGAGGCCTTGGTCCAGTGAAGAAAAAGAAAATTATGTGCGTCCAATATTCTCTCGCTTTCAATATCCGATCAGCTTTCCGCTAGATAACTTCCCGTTTGTCTCGTTCGTCGGTGCTCAGTTCTACCGCTCTAGACCTTGCACATTGTGGTTTTATCCTAGGAGGAGATTGCCTACGTTTGCCAGTGTGGGAGGCGGGCAACACTACCTTAAGGAAAGCTCCGGTAACTCTGCTTTCCTAACCTCTATTTCTAGAAACTGTTCCGGTTCGCCTGTGCCATTCGTCCGACGTCTCTCAACACTCAAGGCACTTGCTCTATTCGACTCCTTCCTCTGCCTGTTCGAGTTCTTGCTGCCGTTACGATCCGTTCGAGCTTCCCGAAGATTCCAACTCTCTTTATTTTATTTCCATTGAAAAATCCGAACGGTTTATCATTTTAGATTATTATTTTTATTATTTTCCCGCTGTAATATTTAACACACATGTGGCCTGTGCTTGGAGATGTGGGAATTGGTTGAAGTAGTGGGATGATAAACAGTTTCCATTATCACTAAATATATTTATTTAATTTAAAATAGTAATATTATAATTTTTAATATTTGAATTTGTGAACTTTATCCAACGGTGTGTAGGAAAATGGCACTATATGTGCCTGTAGCAGTTAAAGTATATTTTTTTTCTATCTTTATGGTTCTTTGTAAATTTTGGTTTTATTAATATTAAAAATATAACAAAATTATAAATGTCAATATAGCAATAACAAAAACAAATTTTCCTTTTTTCAGGCAGAGGTTGCAGGTGGAGTTTGCAGGGAGTGTGGCGCAACTGTATGTTCGTGCAAAGTAGTTTTTTCTTGGATGTTATTTTTTGAATAATATTACTATAATTATTTATATTCTTGTATTAGATATGATAGTATATTAATTGATTCTAATGATAATAATATTGTTATTATTTTTATTATTACTCCGTATTAAGTTACAATTAGAAAAGAAATTATGAAGTTGGTTATCCGTTTTGGGGTCATAAATCCGATTTTTGAGAAAACCATTATAATAAATTGATAACAGAATAAGTTAGAAGATTAAATAAAATAATTATAGTAATTCTATTAGTAATATTTCAAAGTCATGTTTTTTTAATTTATATTAATGTTAATGACGGTTGGGATTGTTAAGTAAGAAATTATTGATTCTTTAATTATTTTGAAATTGGCTCAAAATTATTTAGTCTGCACGCGGCCCAAAACATTGACTTAAAAGAAATACGGCCTAGTTTAGTGATTAAGCTTAAAGTTTTTTGGTTGTTTTTTTCATTTTGGTTTTGTAAAGAGGTATATAGATAAATCTCGCTTAATTTAATTTTGTCTGATTAGAGAGCATACTTCCTCTTAGGGTTGTAAAACGAATGATTAATGTTTATTCGATTCGTGATTCGTATTCGAAATCAATGATTCGTACTCCAAAAAAAGAATACGAATAAGAATATAAATATTTATTAAAATTCAAATGAAAACAAATACAAATACGAATGTATATACATTCGATTCGATATGTTAACGAATATATACGAAGATAAATATAAAAATTTATAACCAATATACCGCTTCATAATATATACAAAAACGTCAAAAGTAGAACATATAGAGTACTCCGTAGTTTGTTTCTTTTGTTTTTTTAGAGCACTCTTTTGCACTTGATAGTACACATTTTTGCTTTTGGGTGCCATATAAAAAGTACTTAAACAATTTTATATGAATGTATAAATATGAATAAAAAATGGAGAAACGGATAAGAATGCCAATACCATAAGTTCATATTCCATAAGACCTAACCACTAGTTCACTACAAGAGCAGTACACCTCGTCATTTCGTTTTATTTTTGAGTAAAAACACTTCGATAAATAGTCGTGCAACTGAGCAATCTTCTCGTACTCTCAGATGCTATGGTCTTCAAAATTTGAATAGAAATCATCCTATGTAGCACTCTAAGACACCCTATATTACACACATTGCAGTCCTTATTGTTTTTCACACATTTGGCTATTTATGGCATAGATATCTTTCAATCATACATTTTTATTATAATGCAATATTTTAATTATTTCATTTACCATATTTATTGAGATCCATAATTTTAGATGTTATTTTCATTCTTGTACGTAGCACTTAGAACCGTCGTGCTACTCCTCACTGCTTAAACACATTTAGTAAACGAAATTGGAAGTGTATACTAACTTTTTTTGCAGTGTGAAATGGTCATGTTATGCATACACTTTCTGGCAGTGCCCCATGCTTTCTGGCATTTTGTTATGCTCATGTTCAGGAAGTGTATACCAACTTAAACACATTTTTTAGCAGTGCGAAATGATCATGCTTTGGTAGTGTGGATATATGTTATACTCCCTCCGTCCCAAAAAGAATGTTACGTTTCATTTTTTGTGCATCCCTTAAAACACTTTTATATCGTTTCAAATGCCAAAAAAACTTTTAAAACAATTTCATCTTATAATAAAGAGTAAATATATTAAATTTTAGAATTTTTAGATGTGAGTAGCAGTGCTTTTTGTGATGCGCAAAAAATGAAATAACATTCTTTTTGGAATGGAGGGAGTATTAGGTATGACGGCAATGTGTTATGTCCATGTTCTAGAAATGTATACCAACTTAAATATATTTTTTTGCAGTGTGGAATGCAAGGGCGGATTTGGAATTGCATCCACACGGGTTCCAATATCCCATAACAATGCTATATTGGGTATTTTAAACATACAATAGTGCTATGATGGTACTTCTCCCAAATTTGAAATTATAAGAGGAAAAAAACTCATAATTTGTGTTTTGTAATAAAATAAAAATACAAATCGAATATTTGAATTTAATAACGAATCGAATACGAACAACAATAGTTATTCGAATAAAAAATGAATTTGAATATGAATAATAGTATTTTTTAAATTTGAATAAAATTTTATAATATTCAATTTCATTAGTTCATTTTATAGTCACTCCATCTTGTCAAACATATTCACGGATTGTTTTTCGCCGTTGATCTACAATTCCCCCGACAACCCTCAACCGACGTCCATGTTGTGTTCCATTTCGACCCAGAAATCCGGCGGTACTAAATGGCCCGACCGTCTCCGATCGTCGAAGGGTTTTCCATCCGGCGACCTCGTCAATTTCGAAGAAATGCATCACCATACGTTTTCCACGCTTGATTCCGCGACAATTAATCTCACATCCCCGAGGTCAGAAGGCATCCGTTCGGAATGCTGCTCGTTTGGAGCTGAATCAGAGAAAGAACAGGTTCTTGAAGGTTCAGTCGATGGAGAAGGCAAAGAATTGTTCAATGCTTTTAGCCATGTTCTCGCCGAGCTGTTTAATATGGGAGAACCCAGTAATTATGTAGTACATAAAAAGGTTTCTCGGAAACAATCAAACCCTAGGCTTTTTGCGGCTTCCACTTCTTCTGAATGTAATAATGTTTCTGGCCCCGGGGATGAGCAGAGAGCAGAAATAAAGACAGTGAACAGCAAGTTGAAGCAACTGGAGCCAGGACAGAATTTAGTACCAAGTGAGGAGGAGGTGAATATCAATTCAACAGCAATGGGGTTTTCTAGGAGTGAGGTTACTGTGATAGACACAAGTTGTACCCCGTGGAAATTTGATAAATTGCTGCTTAGACAGAAAAATGTGTGGAAGGTCCGTGACAAAGGAACAAAGACAACATATTTGGGGAAAAAGAGAAATGAAATTGCAGAGCATGACAATGTTGGTGGAACGAAGAAGCAGAAAGCTTTTAGTGGAGAAGAGAGTAAACTCCCAAAAAATGAAGTAAGTTGGATACAATCATTTTAGGTTTACTGTCATCTTGTTCCTGTTCTCTTTTAATTATGATCTGCTTCTCTATATTCAATCTTGAGATCTTCTCATCCACCGTGTTGAGCTGCATCTCTTAACACGTGATCTATTGTCATTTCACTTTTGCATATAAGATTACAATTTTACATCTTATAGTGATTAATGAATTATTCTATGCATATTACTGAGTAGGCAATTTAACAAGGGAGAAGTGTTATATTTACTGTATAACATACTTAATATAAATGTACCCATGTTAACCATTTTGAGGTTTACTTTAATATTTAACTATGAGTTTGAGTGTTAAAGGTACAATGATTGGGGTGAAACAAGATTACAATGACTTTTACCAATATTATGAATATGTCCCATGAAATGCATTAGGTGAAGCTGCCTTGTGAAGGGTGGAGGAGTTTTGAGAACTGGTTTGAATATGCGTGTGTCTAAAATCCTCTGGGATATCGACGGTATGATGTGGGGGTGAGAAGGATTAATCTGACCAAAACGGTAGTGTTGAAGTATTGTCACATACCATAGCATTATCAATAAACGGAGGGGGGGGGGTAAGGAATTGAAAGCTTAAGGGAATCAAAGGCTCTTCGAAGGCATGAAGAAAATTTACCTTGGTTGCCTTCTGGTATTAGGAGCCAGATTTTGCCATCTCTACGATGTTCACAAAGCTTGATGTGGTTGAAGAGTCTGGATGAGTTGAAAGAGAGGGTTACCCGTCTAGATTTCTCTCTTTGATGCTCAGAAAGCAAGTATCCGTGGTTAATGAAGAATCGAATATTTTCCAAAAGCCAGGCACAAGTATCTAACCCTAGGCAGATGTTAAGCTTTTGTTTCCTCTGAATTTCTGTTATGCATAGCTTCTTATTAAATTCCGAATATGTGAAGCTGAAGATCTTACCTTATATCCAGAATTTTAGTGGACCCGTGAGTGGACTTGGGATTCTTTCCGGAAAACCCTTCCCTTGATCAAGAATGATGATTTCTTTTGCCGGTTCCAATGTCGTTTTTGAGTAGATTGCAGTAACAGGGATTCTACTTTCATGATGTTGTGAAGGACCTATGAGAACACCAATTTAAGGAAACTCTTGTGGAATGAAGGACCTGGGGTGTTGGGGATTTGGTTGAAGAAGGCCGACACTGAATGGGTGTTATCGGAAGGGATGGTCGGAATTCCCTCCCTTCCCTCTAAACTTCTCTAAAGACATCTTTTTTCAAACACACACAGATATATATATATATATACACACACATATACATACATACATACATA